GTCTATATTTAGAGCAGCAAAGAAAATTGCGACTGTTATATCTACATATTTTTAACTTTCAACTTAACCGCAGATATGGGAATTAAATATTAGAATCTATTTATTTATTTAAAAACTTTTTGCACATAAAACGTACAAATAATTTATTGTAATAATGCAACACTATCTAATGATAAGGCATCTCTGTGAGTAGTGTGGTAGTATGGTAGAGTGGTGCACATACTTGTGGTTCAATTTTCCTCCGGTGAGGGAAGTAACTCCAGGCCTGGCCACTAACAGGTGGGCAGTGCACCAGCCACTAACGGCATTACGAGCATCAATGGACGATGGTATACTTGCTGCTTGAACTCCTTGCTCTTCCTGCGTCTTCTTACACATCATATATTAGTCGTAGCTTAATATTATGGAAGGAAAATTAAAATTAACGTCTCGTTGTCTGTACACGGTCAGATCTTCCAAACGCACTTTTGAAATAAGTCACATTTTCAGAGAACTGTCAAAGTAGTCCGGGCAGGGGCAGAATTATTCTGTCGGAAAAGTATGTCACTGGTGTATTCGCGTTTTGGATACACAGACGTCATCCCATTTCGGAAGCAGCGACGTCTTCCGACAGCCAAAGCGGTTTGTCAACTTGGCCGTGTGCGTTATAGAGCTTAATGCTGAAACTTAACATAGCAAATGCTAGGATAAGTTTGGAATAAAAGCTTCCTTGGAAACTTACTTCCTCCGTTAGGTTTGTACTCGTGAATAGATTTTTATGACATCGATTCGGCCGTTAAAGTATTACCTATTTGCTTTCCTTATAATTAAATCTTTTCCCATAAAAAAAAAATAAATAAATCCGAAGGTGCTGTGATTTTTCCAAAGAGTTATTGTAGTGTTTGATTATATTTTATTATATATATTTTATTCTTTTTCTGTTCTTAACTTAATTTTTAAAAATATTCGTAAGCGAATCATATTTTTATATTTTATAGCTGAAACACCGATAGACTAATAAAACTGAAATATGACTGTATATTCTCGGATTTATTGATCTTCTTTCTCCTTCTCTCGCTCCACGTATGAAGGGTCGGCACAACATGAAAATACTATAACGTTGACTAGATGTTTTTGCTATCGGTTGGCCGCCTGTCGTTCTCCTTGAAATAACACACATAGACCCGAAATTTATCTGTGGGTCACAAAAATACATGTTCCGTGTGAGAATTGAACTCAGGACCCCCAGCACCGAAGCCAATAGGTTAATAACAGCGCTATCGAGACATCTATACTTGAAATTATATTGATAATTTTAACCGACTTCAAAAGGAGGAGGATCTCAATTCGACTGTATTTTTTCATGTTTGTTACCTCAGAACATTTGACGGAGTGAACCAATTTTCATGATTCTTTTTTTATTTTAAAGCTGATGCTTCCCATGTGGTCTCATATTAATTTTATTGGTATTGGATCTTGGGCTCCGGATACTTGGGGAACTCCTGAAAATCAATTATAAAATGAATACAGAGCGAGATATTTGAACTTGGTTTTGTTTTTTGTTATAAAATGGTCATTTCTGGTTACATTCGTGATGTCAAACTAGAAAAAATATGATGAAGGTGTAATGAAAAAAAAATAAAAAAAATATAACTTGATACGCATTTTAATTGGTGCACATTGTTTTGATTTTACACTTAATAACAACTTCACTATTGTCGATATATCTGGTTATAATAATAAATTCTACCGATAGATTGACATGAAATAATTAACCCGACATTTTGTGTAACTGTCTCACGGGGCGAGAGCTGGTCAGTATAAATTAAATGCAATAAAGATCTCAATATGGCATGAGAATCAAAGATACCTCATTTGTTTTTATATTTACAGAAATCGAGTCGACGCGCTACGAACCCACGTTTCAATGCTCTCGGAAAATAATCGTGAATCATGTCGCACTATGTTAAGTAAAGCTGCGGCTAAGATAAGAGTAGGCACTGACGTAACATTAAATATAATTATTTAGTGCCCACGTGCCTTTGAACCACGATGACTTTATTCTTCATAAAATTCATAGAGCGTTGTTATGGCCTTACGATGTACTTACCTTTGCCTTTTTAGTCAATCCCTTTAATAAAATCCCTCTACAATGTTCAAAAGTAAACTAAACAACAATCGCCGTACCTTACTGGTTTGCAATTTCAATTTTAAACTCAATAAAATTCGATACAATTATTTCGACCATGATGCTTGCTTTAGTCACTTTAATAATATCGGTTAAATGAAATAAAAATCTCGTTTCACAACATTCAGGTCAATCTTGTACACGGAAACCATTATCATACTCGCCATTACCATTCCCACATGCGAAGCTATCTAAAGGGATAATACTGATTAAATTTCTTAAACTGCCGTTCGCATTTTCGCGTGCACATATTAAACATCGCAACGCAAAATACCAGCGTGTCAGCGCGATCGGGGCATTCTACGCCCGTAATCTGCATCGTCGAATATCGAACTAATAAGAAAAGGCTGAGCAGCCCATTATGAATTAGCAACGAAGTTATGCAAGCCCACACTAAAAATAACACGTCGCGGAGATGCGCGATAGTGGCGCGGCGTTGCGGGGAAAAAATCGCAGGCCCGTAGCTGCCAACGCAGAATTTTAAAAGCGGCTAATTATCGGCGACCATTCGAGAGGGAAGAAATCGCGCCGGCTAATGGCGAACGCGACTTAATATAACGACCAAACGGTCACCGCGTTAGCGTGGACTCGAGATATTCGGTATCGCCTCGAGATTCGGACGGATAATGAAGTTTACGTTGGCCGGAACGGCGAAAGCTAATAAAGGGCCTCCCGGTTTAATTGAATCTTTTTGAGAAAATAATGATGCACATAAATCGATTGCTGTGTCGCTAATCGGGTTGTAACGAACGGATGCTTCGCTAACCGTTAATTCTGTTTCCTCGCATTTATTTCTTTGCAAAAAAGGAGTATTTTACACGCTAATGTACAATTAACCAGAACAAATAAAATGTAGCGAAAAGTTTAACACCACAACGTTACATATTTAAACCCATTAGGACAGAATTGTGAAAAGCACTTTTTGTTTACCTAAGGTAAATAAGAAATAACTATACACATAAATATTCTTTATTCATCCATATTATCATAGCATGCTTTAAAAACAAACAGGTGTATGTTATTTTTTACTAAGACGGTATTAGAATTTTCAAGTACATTAAACAGAATTATCGATAAACAAATCTTGAAGTAAATAATTTTTCTACTTCGTCTTTTCTTACATGCCATGGAATTAGAGATTAATAACACATATTCATCCATTTTGCACCAAAATTCTAAGTGATTGTCTATCTTTACAACAAGAAAATAATTATAATGTCGAAGAACCATGTCGCATCCGTACAGATTATTGTTGGGAACGATACTCTCGAAGTTGTTGACCACTATATCTACCTTGGACAAACTATCCAGTTAGGTAAGTCCAACTTCGACAAAGAGGTCGCTCGAAGAATTCAACTCAGATGAACAGCGTTCGAGAAATTACGCGATAGCTTCCCGTCCAAGATCCAGCAGTGCCTGAACAAGGTTATAGTGATGACATAATATGGCACTGAGATGTGTTCTTTAAAGGCTGGCTTTTCAGAGAAGCTCAGATTCACACAACAAGCTATGGAGGGAGATAGAAGTTTCTTTGCGTGACAAAATACTGAACGAGGAAATTTGCCGAAGAACTAGAGTCACCGAAAGCTCTCTAGATTAGCAAGCTGAAGTGGCAATGGGCAGGCCACATTGCTTGAACCGATGGAGAATAAAAGCTCTCGAGTGGCTTCCACGAACCGGCAGACGAAGCGTTGCAAAGCCTTTCAATAGGTGGACCCACGACATCGTCAGAGTCGGCAGGCCAACGATGGACATCTTTCGGCTGGTGGTGTTGATTATTTCTATCCGTATGCTGTTTTAAGATGATTTGTCTTTTTTATCTCTAGAGAATAAGTTTGCTTAAACTTATTCGAAATTACAAATGGCTTATCCATCTGAACAGACCTTACCCTACCCTGGCCGCCTCTCACCATAATAGCCGAACGAATACGCACTGACAACAAATATACAAATACTGACAGAACACAGCAGCGATGCACGTGAGGAAATGAAATAAATCATTACAGCTTGCATCTTAGAACTAAACAAGACGTATAAATCAATTCGTATTCGTCTCACCGTGATTATACAAAACTATATGCAACATTATAATGCAAGATTTAATGAACAAATGAAGGACCATCATTTTTTTTTATGTGAAAAGTTGCCAAACGAGCAGACGGTTCACCTGATGGTAAGTGAATACCGCCGCCCATGGACATCTGCTACACCCGAGGGTTACAGATGCGTTGACAACCTTTTGAAAATTGGGCTCCGGCTACCTCACTCACCAGACGAAACGCGAAAGTATTTGTCATATTTCCACTTTACGCTGGTCTTCTGCGAGGTCTAGGTACTTACCCGGACGGGCCTGCCCATTCGTGCCACAGCCGAGGCTGTTGCGAGGCCCTACCACCGTTAATCAAGATGCCGCCCTAAGCAACTAAATGCACAATACCACTTTGTAGGTTGACAGTCCACTGCACCACGCTTTCATGGACTATTCTTTGTGAAAGAACTTTTTGGAATGGTTCTCACCAGCGTACCAGTGTGCCTTAGGGAATTCAAAAAAGAGAGCTTATTTTTTTCAGAAAGACCGTTAATGTGCACAGCTACTGCTACCTGCCTAAGACTTCATAATCTGCTTTTCAACTGAAATGGCCTAGAACCGCTAAGTGCGTAAGCAAATAAAAACACGAAGCACAGTCCAAACTGGTTCCGCGGCGAAATGTTACCGAATTTGACGTTCAGCCTTTAACGTCGGCACCGATCTCGTGTCGCGCCCTCGTCATAGACACCGCAGGGGACGAAATTCGCCAGTCCGATGCCACCTGAAGAAGTGTCCGCGCCGTCAGCCGATTAAATCTGCAGACGGGATTCCGCCCGCGTGTCCGAGGCGTGCCATCGCCCGCGTTCCAATACCTTGTCCGGGGCTTCTTTGTCCCCAACGCATCGGCTGACAATTTGTTGGTGACACGAATATCTGAGGGCCTTGTGCGCGGCGCACAAAAGAAACTAATCGGCGACACTGATCACTCATCGGCCGCGCCAGGGCCGCTTTTGTTTTGACGGCCGCTCCACGGGCACACATTGTAAATGGCTGTTATTATTTTTTTTAATTCTTAATACCCTTCGATTGGCATCATCGACGACGCCGTTAAGCCAAAAGCAAAAAATAATTGGATGCGATATTACAATGTTCCTTTATAGATTCTTGTGTAAATTAAAATGATTATTATTTTATTGCTGTCCTGTATTTTAAGCAGTAAGGAGGCTTTTGAAAGAAATAAATATGCAAATTTCATTAGACAGTTTAGGACGACCTGGCATGCTGAAAAAAAAATCAAGGACCAAGTAAACCAGCAATTTCAGAATATTATTTAAAAGCAATCTCTGCTTATGTTGGACTATCTGCTTATATTATCATTGTCGATTGAACGTATAATTGAAAAATGCCTCTGTTATTATGATTCTTGCAAAGTATTTACAAGTAATCATTATGAAAGTAATAAACATGAAAGATTTAATGTCATAGAATCTCGATACATAGTTTCATTTGTAAACATAATGATGTTAATGACCTTAGAAATAAAAAAAATATTTTTTATAAGCCTCGCCTATTGTAAAGTATCTATTAGGGTTAGATTTCAAAAAATCCGTTCTTAGTGTGTACTTATGATGTAAAAGGGAGACACTGATAAACTTCCAAGTTAATAAATAATTGGCGTCATCCATACACATATTTTAAATAATCTGTACATATTAATTAAGATTATTTTAATAAGCCAAAATTAAAACTTATAAGTGACGATGTAAAAATCTAACCCCCTAATTCACGATAGGCAGCAATAGGTAAGGAGAAGAAAATTTGGCTACTGTTTGATAAGTAATTTTGTTGCTTTCTGTTTATATCCATTTTCAAGAAAAATAAAATCAACAGTCAAAGACATGCAAATAGATTAGTAAATTATTTATTATCATACTCTAAGTGATAGATCAAAGATGGAAATTTCATTACAATATTCGACGAAAAGGAAGCTGGGATAGGTTAAACGTGTTTCGAAGTAACCGAATTAAGTACGTGCTCAGACTGGTACGCGAGTACTGAACAAACATTACATTATCCAAAGTCTAACGATCAGATTATATCTATTGAATTAACCATTAATCCCTCGACAAATTTCTTATTCATATCTCTTGTTTACGTCTCCCTCATGAAATTCTAATGTTATTATAGATAATTGACAATCCAGGCGGCTGAGTTTTACCATCGGACATCACGTCAGAAACAAAACTTCATGCACACCACCTCGATGTCCAGCGTTCCACAATAGCGCAATTTTCAAGGCAATTCGTGTCCCGCACAACCACTCTGTGGAACCAGCTGCCGCCGGCGATCTTTCCGAAGCGTTACGACCTGGGCACCTTCAAGAAGAGAGCATACTCTTTTATTTATTTATTTATTTACACTTTATGCACAATCTAGTATAAAGGCGGACGTAACGCCAAAGGCAATTTCTACCAGTCAACCTTAGTCTACCATTCTTTACTAAAAGGTCGGCAACGCATTTGCAGCCCTCCGGTGTTGCAGATTTCATGGGGGACGGTTATCGCTTAACCTCAGGGAAGCGCCAGCTTGCATGCCGCCAACTAAAATATAATTGTAGAAGTGACATATAGAAAGATGTTTACGATAACCGTTCTTTTTACTTGGATAAAGTTTCATTTGAACATGTTGAATTTATAATGGATTTTTGTAATACATAAACATACGTATTAAGCTTATAAAGGTGTAAACATAAACGATAGTCACACACAGGCATATAAACATTGTACAATTCACGTTCATATATATACATACTATACGGCGTGACGAAACCACTTCTATTTAAAAAAAATACAACATTAATTTTGGCACGCCATCGCACTGCACACTCCCTGGAGAAATTAACAATATACTGTAACAATGATAATAGAAATGATATAAAAGCCCGCCTAACACTCGCTGTGCTTACAAGCACTGTGCGCTTGTGTTTATTTTGCATGCGTTATTGTAATACGCGCTTGCCCTGGGAACAATTCAGATGGAAATTAAATATAAATGAAAAAATATGTGTTCTATAACTATGAAACGATCTATATCAGTCCACTGCTCTGTATAAAGTTGGAACTTAGAGTAGAGTAGTACTCTATATTGAGGCTAAGATAGTCTGAGAAATAGAGACGGTAAATTTTGTTTAATATTATAGAAACCTAGAAAATCGCGATGCGAAATAATATTTTTACAAACTAAAAGAAAGAAAGAAAGAAAGAAAGAAAAATATTTATTTGGTACATAAACGAAAAAAAAAAACACATAAAAGACATAAACACAGTAATTTAGTTACAAAGAGACTTCTATTAATACTATACATTTCCTATTCGGTTTTTTTTTCTCTGTCCCTTTACAAACCAAAGTCCGATCCCAATGAAATTAAATGGGAATTGAAATTGTCTTCTTTGCAACAAAATAATAAATAAATTGGTTTATAGATTTCGGCGTTCTGACACGTAACAAACAACAAGTTATACTTCTTTGTAGCCTATCATAAGAAAAGTAACTAAACATTTAAACCCCTGTGCCAGTACTCTTTGTTTGTGAAAAACACACAAGCAATTTTAAAAAACGCAACTTTAAAAGAAAAGGGAAAAAAGAACAAAATCATCTAGATGGACAAAAAATAAAAAATAAAGAAAGCAAAAAAAAAGTAAAAAAATAAGTATGTAAATGATCGTGGCACGAACCACGGCCATCTGTTTCGAGGGCGCCCGATTACCGACCGAGCTATTATAACATTTTTTTTTCGGCGAAATTTACCGTCATATTCGAATGATATTTTTCATTCCCTGAAAACAGGGATAAAAGGACATTTTCTAAAAATGAAATCTAGCTAGATCGATTTTTCGCCCTGAATCTACGCACATACTAAATTTCATGGCAATCGCTGGAGCCGCTTCCGAGATCCCGATTATATATATATATATATATATATATATATATATATATATATATATATATAAGAATTGCTCGGTAAAGGATAAGATTATAGGTAAATGCCAAAAATTTGTTATTGGTTGCCATGGTTATCCGCTTTACAATCAACTTCATCATGCAACTTAAAATTTACAACCGAATTGAGAACATGTTCCTTTTTTAAGTTGGTTGATAGACCGCCACTAATACACAATCTAATATTTGTCATCTTTATTAACGTTAGGAAAGTCACGTATTGCACAATGTCATCGAAATATTTCATCAAAACGAAATATGTAATGTTGTCCCATTGATTTGGGACTCGTGTCATACGTGAGCCGTTATTGTCAATCCGTAGGCCGCGTAATGATCGGATTTTTAATGGTGTCCATAAAAATTTGATCTCTCTTCCGCTGTCGATAAAATCGAAACAGCACAACGTGGCTGGCGCGCGTCACTGTTTACTGTAAAATAAGGCAGATATGTAAATGAAATTCGGTGTAAGCGATAAAAAAAAATTACTCAATAATTAGTTAACCCTTGAGACGCGGGCCGGGCCAGCTCGGCGAACTAATCGAAACGTGGGAATGGACAGACGAAAGACTGACGCTGTGCGGAAACGAATGGAGCGGCTTGCACTAAAAAGATACAGATAAAATATAGGAAATATAATACAGCATGTAACGTATACAAGTTCTGTCGTTTTAAAATTAAGATATTATCGAATGCAGGTAATGCATGTTACATGTAGGTAATGATAATTTGAATACATGTAAATATGTACCTATAATCATAAATGCCCTAACATTTTTGAAAAAAACATTTTTAACTTGCCGGTCATATAGCTCGGAGAACTGATAACTGATGGGGAAGAAAACTTCTTGATTGGGAGCTTCGTATTGGCCATAGCAGTGCAAATGTGTTGGAGGTATATGTTCAGCAGTGGAACCGGACAGACCAAAATGATAATCCTATTAGATCCATGGATTATTAGCCTATATAGCCTCCGACTAAATTATTTGTATCAATTCAGGCACGTCTACAATATTTCCACTTCACATCAGTCTTCTATGAGGCCGTGGTAATTCTCCGGATGAATCCAACAGCAGAAACCAACTGGTTTTACCACGTTATAAATTCCCATTACAACTCCCAGGTGAAGGCATTTCAAATACAAAACTTGCTAGTTATCGCTATCCTAATTTTATAACGTTTAATATTTTATAACGTATAAAATTTAATATACAAAACAATGAGAGAGACATGACTGATAAATGTTTTACTAATATTCATTATCCAATGCATAAAGAAACATATATATTTTTATCGGTCACCGACTCCATTCGTTCGAAGTCATAACACAAACTGAACCGAATATTCAGTGGGCGTGCGTAGGGCGTTACAATTAAATATATATATTACCTCACCGCCTACACCTAACAATACCCCGGTATCTAACTGCCTCGAAACGTTGCGTTCACGGGCCTGCCCTTGGAACTTTGACTCATTGAAATTCCTAGATACGGGACCTATCCGTGTGTTTGCCATTTTAATGCGAAATCTAGTTTAGCTGCTCTCATCTTGTTAACTGAATAGACAGAATTGATGCAGATTAGATAGACGATATCCCCAATGTCGACGGTTGTTCCACAACTCAGTTCCTTTGTTTCCGTGAATACGAAATCCAAGTTTTGAAGGATATTCATTTAGAAAGTTATGATTTCTGTAGTATTCCTTTTATGAATTTTGCTAAAATGAAATACAAAGACTTGGTCTATTTAGGAACTTTTAACATTGAAAACTTCTTTAACTCCTATATATAGATTGATTTGTTTACTTTCCTCGGTAATTATTATATTTTTTTCAAGAAATAATACGTAAACTGTCAGGAAGGGAAGCTCAAAAATTCTATACTAAAAAAACTATGAATTAAGCTGCTTTTAAATTATCGCCATAAAGACTGAGATCACTTAGCATATTGATATATAAGTTTGGAGAAACTGTTGAAACAATTTAGGATAATTTTCCAGTACACAATTTTATTTTGGAATTTATTATAATCGATTACTTGGTACATA